GGCAATGAGAAAGCAGGTTGCAGAAAGGTTCATACAGTATGACATTTTAAAACACAGAACAGTACAGACAGCCCTGATTATTGGAATCCAATCTATTTCTACAAGTGTGTCAGAGGGTGAATTTTTAGTTAGAGGGCCTATATTAGACTATTAAAAACAGGAAAAAACAGAACGTGTTCTTGGCTCTTTCAAAAACTATAATTTGCCCCCAAACTACTCAAACACTCTTAAATACCTACATAACAACCTACCAAGAATTTCTGCAAAGTATAAAGCATCTAAAACACTAATTATCTATTTAAGTCTTAGCAAAAAATTTAGGTACACCTGTGTATAGTACTTAATGATACTGTATAGTATCAGACACATTGTATTTCCCATTTATGTGTACATCTTTCTCAATAAGCTTTAGCACTTTTACACTTTCTTCTAACGTAGGGACTTTTTCGTAACTCTTAGGTTCACACACTTCCTTTGCAGGCTTCTCCACGATGTCACAGACCATTTTCATTAGTAATGTGAGGAAGGTGACTGAGATATTGCACAATGCATTTAAACAACTACAATGGACAGGAGACATGGTCCTACCATGAGAAGAGCTGAAATATGACTGAAGTACAGGCTACATCCTCTTCCCCAGACTCATGTACAACTGAAAATGTTTTTGGTAGTGTGCACAAGAAGATGTATTATTATAGTGGATTTTGATTTAGTTAATTCTCATAAATATTTTTGCAAGTTATTTTGCAAATAGTGAACCTTCACACAGTGTTTAAGATACTTATACTGTCCACTATTTATGGACATATACATAGTAAAAGTATAAACGGAAGGAAGGAGACAATTTCAGAATGTAGGAAAAGCCTGGAAAAAACAGGACCAGAGAGAGGTCTAAAGGAGTTTTATGTATCTGTTTATTTATTTTATAAAAGGGAGATGAACAGGGCAAAATAGGCAAAAACATTTTAAAATACGAGTAGTGGGTACATGAATGTTCATGACATTGTTTTCTATACCTTTTCATGAAATCTGAAGGCCAATAAAATTCTTAACCTATCTGAAACAGGCCAATATTAAGAGCCCACAGAAGCTGTTCATATCAAGAATTAGAAGTTGACACTATACTATACAGGGCAAGAGAACTAGTGTGTGTAGGTCTGTGTTTCCATGTCAACCCAATACCCTTATAAGCCTGCCTCCTGTCAGGACACCCACCCTCCACACAATCCCCACCACCACCACCTTCCTGACCTCACCCTCACTCAGTGGTCACCCTGCACTATTACGCTCCGCCACACTGGCCTTCATGCTGTTCCTGGAATACAAAGTTGCGTCTATCTCAGGGTCTTCTACCTCTGGGTATTTTCATGGCTAAAACCTCCTTCAAAATCCTTCAAATCCTTCCTAAAATCTCACCTTCTCAATGAGGCCTACCGTGACCACCCTGTTAAAGATTACAAAACAGGTCCCCCAGCACTCCTGATCCCCTACCGATCCCGCTTTATCCTGTCCAGAGTACTTACTTTCTAGCACACTAGAAACTCCATAAGGCAGGAACTTTGGGGTGTTTTGTTCTTTGATAAATTCCAAGTGCCTAGAGCAGCACCTAGCATACAGCAGGCACTCAAATATATGGAGAATGACTAATAAAATGTCAATTTTTCTATGCTACAGTACAACCAACTTTTCTCTGCATCCCCAATACTCTTCAAGTATATTCTCTATTCAAATGGCCTGTGGGTTCTGATTCATACATGGTGCAATACTCAACATTTGTGGAATTAATGAAATTCAATGTCCTGGATATGAGACACGAAGTTTCTCTCAAGTCAAGTCATTTCTATTATAACATCCTTAGAAAATTAATAGCAGATACTTCTTTTTAAAGGTCATGCTAAGGCATACGAAAAAGGCCACTGCTCTGGTTCATACCTTTTTTCCTACAAAGACAGTAAAAAGATGCAATCAGTGATGCCATAAAAATAATCGTTACCTTACACACTCAAATCTAAAAGAAATCAGACAAGATTTAATGAAGATCAGGTAGCAAGCTTCATGAGAAATAGTACTTATCTCTACCTTTCTTCATTTTGGTTCAATATTTTTTAACTTCTGTTTTGGTAGAGAAACAACGTAGGCCAACAGAAGTTGTTAATTAAAAGTTTTAAGGAGTAAGTTTTAAAATATATTATTTAAAAGCTGGTAATGACAGTGTTTTTTAAATGGCTGTAAATTCTCTGACATGTCTCTCATTGAAAAGTGGAGTCTAATTCCCTATCCACTTCAACCTGAGCTAGCCTTAGGGACTTGCTCTAATCAAGAGTGTGGTTAGATCAGTACAGGCCATGAGGTTTCTGCCTGGGTCTCTTGGAACACTTGCTCTCTGGAAAGTACCTCTCTGGATACACAGTCACCATGCTGTGAGGATCCCCAGCCATATAGAGAGGACACTCGAAGGTGCTCTGGACAACAGTGCTAGCTGAGCCCAGCTGCCAAGTCATTCCAGCCCAGATGACACGTGAAGGAAGAAGCTTCCAGATGATGCCAGCCCCCAACTATCTGAGTCTTCCCCAGCTGCTTGAGTGTTCCAAGCTGAAGGCCGAGATGTTGTGGAGCAGGGACAAGCCATCCCTGCTGTGCCCTGACCGAATTCCTGACCCACAGAATCTGTGAGCACAATAAGATGGTTGTTGTTGCACGCCACTAAGCTTTGGAGTGGTTACAGAGGCAATAGGTAACTGGAAAACTAGTGCTAACCCAAAGCCTGTATCTAGTTACCAAATTTCGTTTTCTCACTACTGGCAGAGCTCTGATTCCATTATTTATTACAGATAAATCATTTATTCAGAGGTAATGTGTCACACAGATCCATCCTCTAGGACAGGCAAGGAAATTATTCAAAGTTAACTTGGACAGCTGTTAGCCAATTTTTAGTCACCTAAATCTGTGTTGTGAACTGATATGGTTAACGTATCTATTTGAAGTAACTAGAAAAAAGCCAGCCAAAAACCAACAGACAAATACACACACACACACATAAGATCAAAGCACATGATTTCCGATAACACCGTACTGGAAGGAGGAGATAAAGCTGTAGCTGTTGTTAACAGGGAGCTCCTCCATAAGGCTCCTATCCACAACATTAATGAAACATTTTCTTCCCCAAGGAATCAATTCATGAAACTGAAAATGCTATCATGTCACTACTTTGAAAAAACCAACAAACAAACTCTCACTAGAGATAACAAGGACCTACCACAGATCAGAAAAAATATTAAGGCAAATTTCTGATTTAAGAAAACAGATTTAAATTCAATCAAAATTACATGTATCACTACTTTCATGCTTTTCAACGCAAGCCAAATGAATCTCACAACAAAATATTATACAACTGTAAACTGGAGGGCACCAAAGTTTACAGTGTGAAATTGTAAGAGTCAAACTAATATTAGATTAAAATTTAAAACATTAAAAAAGCAACAAGTAAAATTAATGTATGTCCCATACTCATGATGGAAATACATTTTAAAGCTTTTTTAAAAAATAAAAATAAAAAAAACCCTGCAACTTCCACCTAATGCACAATTAAAAAAAAAGACCAGATTTACTGGTTCAAGAGAGATTGGAGGAACCTCCAAGACTACGGCCCTTAGACATCATTCTAACTTGGAAATGAAGTCATTCCCAGAGATCACCTTTCAGCCAAATTATAAACAGGCCTATAAAATAGACAATAACACCCATGAGGAAAGTGCTCCTTAGTACAATCATCTATATGAGACCCAAAGGGCAACATCTGCCCAAAAGCAAAGATGAGAAAGCAGGAAGGGGCAGGAAAACCACACAAGTGGAAACGGGGAACTCAGGGTGATAATGGGGAAAGTACTGACACACTACAGGGATTGCAACCTATGTCATGGAACAATCTGTGTATCAACTATTGAATGGGAAACTAATTTGCTCTGTAAATGTAAACCTTCACCTAAGCACAATAAAAAAATGGGAGAAAAAAAAACCCAACTGCTCCCCTTTATTGTAACTATTCTGTAGTCAACACTGCCCTCTGGTGATCCATGATAAAAGTCAGATGCCAGAAAGCAAACATCATACTTTTATTGTTCATTGTCTATGTCAAGATAGCTACTCTGGACTATAATTCCCATCAAAGACAAAATAAATGGATTTAGGACTACCTTTATTACCTATTGTGTATAATTAGAAACTTGTTAAAAAGGCATCAAATCAAGGACATTAATTCACGGGAAAAAAACAAAAAATCAAGTCCACTGCTGTCAAGTCGATTCCAACTCATAGTGACCCTACAGGACAGAGTAGAACTGCCCCACAGAGTTTCCAAGGGAACAGCTGGTGGATTCAAATTGCTGACCTTTTGATTAGCAGCCAAGCTTTTAACCACTGGGCCTGCCAGGGCTCCAATTCATGGAAAAAGCAGCTCTTAAATATTATGTTAGTAAGACACCACTACACAATGAAGTAGCCATTGACGGTACAGTGCTTAAGCACTCAGCTACTAACCGAAAGGTCAGCAGTTCAAACCCACCAGCCGCTCTGCAGGAGAAAGATGTAGCAGTCTGCTTCTGTAAAGATTTACAGCTTCGGAAACCCTATGGGGCAATTCTACTCTGTCCTCCAGGGTCGCTATGAGTCAGAACTGACTTGGAGGGGGCAATGGATTACATCTTCACATAAAATTGTACAACTCAAGAAAGATCCTGAAGGTGTATTACCTGAGTTATGAGGGTATGTAGGAGAGTCAGATTAAAGCTGCACCATCAATAAACAAGAAACTTCAACAGGAGCAGGTCTAGCTGTGTTTAACCATAGAAACAAAGCCTCCCATGCCTGCCAGCTCTGCCCTTTAGCACACCTGACTCCTTATCTTAAGAAAAAAGCTGAAGAACAGGCTCAAGAGAAAGAGCACGCTTGGCTGCTAAATACTTACTGAGCCTAGGAAATTTTCCAAGAAAAGAAAGACTTACCAAGGCTGGTGCCATCCAGCCCCATAATGCACTTCATAGAGGTGATGATCTGCTCCACAACAGGTGGTGACATAGACGTGGCATACACTGCACTATGAGAATGTGTTCGCAGATAGTCTATCAGCTCCTAGGGAGACAATCAGAGGCAAGTCTTGAATTCACTGGCAGGGTCAGTGCTGCCCTTCCAGGTGCTAGCAGACTCCTTCCTTCTATAGCACTGGCATAGGGACACTTACCTGAGTTGCAAGGTCAACTAATGTGCTCAAAGCATGCAGTCAGCAACAACTGGGCCAGAAACATGGCAAAGTTCTTAGGCTTTATTTTGTTTTTTAAACAAGTCACAACACGGAAGAAAAGCTAGTTTTAAAGAAACCCTCTAAATTTAGGAGAACGTACCATTTGATGTCATAATTTATTTCCAGGCATTACAGAAAATGTCATCTGCATCCCACCCTATGCCGCCCATCTTTACACCCTTAAACAATAGATGGTTCTCTAATATCCGTTTTATAGGCATTAAATATTCTCCAGATACATAGAAATTTACTAAATGACGTTAATGTGGCAGAAACTAAACAGAAATTCACTAGGTCTTTTGTTAGAACACAAGAAAAACCTTGTCGTTCAGTTACAAGGATTTCAAAACAATGAATTGTATATCCCTATCCCTTGATATTGTTTAACTTTACTAAATTTTTAAATAAAATATGCACACAGAAGCTTATAGTATGTATCAGAAGTAAATAAAGAGCTACCTTTAGGTCACAGACTCAAAATGTGACTATAAAACAGTCTACCATTTCAAAAATACTAAAAATTGTAGAAACAACACAAAGCACAAATATATTGTACTTAAATGATCTATCATAGTATTTATTGTTTTTATATCTTTTGGTTCAGCAACAAATCTTACCAAAAAGCAATCAGCTCTCCAAAGTGTGTCTGGTTCTCACCTATGGATGGACAGCTGATCTTTGACAAGGGCTGAAATCCATTAAATGGGGAAGAGCTAGTCTCTTTAACAAATGGTCCTGGCAAAACTGGATACCATTTGCATACAAATGAAAGAGGATCCATACCTCACACTATATACAAAAACTAACTCAAGATGCATCAAAGACCTAAATGTAAAAGCTAAAACTATAAAGATCGTGGAAGAAAAAATAGGGGCAAAGCTGGTGGCCCTAATTTATGGCATAATTAGACTATCAAACATAACTAAAAATGCACAAACAGCAGAAGATAAACTAGACAACTGGGATCTCCTAAAAATTAAACACTTAAGCACATCACTTCTCCGTAAGAGTAAAAAGAGAACCTAAAGACTGGGTGTTATGGATTGAATTATGTACCCCAAAAATGTGTATCAGCTTGGCTAGGCCATGATTCCCAGTATTGTGTGGTTGTCCACCATTTTGTGATCTGATGTGATTTTCCTGTATGTTGTAAATCCTACCTCTATGATATTAATGAGGCAAGATTAGAGGCAGTTATGTTAATGAGGCAAGACTCAATCTACAGGATTAGGTTGTATTTTGAGTCAATCTCTTTTGAGATATAAAAGATAGAATCAAGCAGAGAGGAGAGGGGACTTCCTACCACCAAGAATGAAGAACCAGGATGGGAGCACGTCCTTTGGACCCAGGGTCCCTGTGCTGAGAAGCTCCTAGACCAGGGGAAGATTGATGACAAGAACCTTTCCTCAGAGCCGACAGAAAGAGAAAGCCTTCCTCTGGAGTTGGTGCCCTGAATTTGGACTTCTAGCCTCCTAGACTGTGACAGAATACATTTCTCTTTGTTAAAGCCATCCTCTTTGGTATTTCTGTTATAGCAGCACTAGATAACTAAGACACTGGGAAAAAAAATTGGGCAATGACGTATCTGACAAGGGTCTAATCTCTAAAACGTACAGAAAACTTCAACACCTCAATAACAAAAAGATAATCCAATTTAAAAATGGGCAAAAGATACGAACAGGCACTTCATCAAAGAAGATATTCAGTGGCCGTTAGATATTCATTAGCCATTAGAGAGATGCAAATCAAAACAACAACGAGATATCACCTCACCCGAGCAATACTGGCACTGATCAAAAAAACAGAAAACAAATACCGGCGAGGGTGTGGGCAGATTGGAACTCTCATACCCTGATGGTGGTAATGGAAAATGGAAAATGGTATGGCGTGACCTTAAAAAGACAGAAATAGAGATACTATATGATACAACAATCCCACGACTAGGTATATATCCTAGAGAAATAAGAGCCGGAACACAAATAGATATATGCGCACCCATATGCATTACAGCATTATTCACATAGCAAAAAGATGGAAACAACCTAAGTGCCCACCAACAGATGAATGGATAAACAAACTATGGTACATACACACAATGGAATACTATGCAACATTAAAGAATAAGAATGAATCCGCAAAACATCTCACAACACGGATGAACCTAGAGGACATTATGCTGAGTGAAATAAGTCAATCACAAAGGGACAAATATTGTATGAGACCACTATTATAAAAAGTCAAGAAAAGGTTTACACACAGAAAGAAACATTCTTTGATGGTTACCAGGGACGGGAGGGAGAAGAAGGGAAAGTCATTAACCAGATAGTAGACCTTGGGTGAAGGGAAAGGCAATACACAACAAGGCAGATGTCAGCACAACATGACCAAGGCAGAGGAAGACACTGGGAGGTACGCCAGAGTAAAAAGCAACAATGGTAAATACTGTAACATACACAGGCCTGCAATAACAGTAATAACAAACAATAATTTACGAGTGGATAGAAAGGTAGATATGTAAGCTGAACAGGTGTGGGATGGGTATGGGAGTACACCCACGAGCATATACAGATGTAGCAAAGGATACTTTTACATATGTATCTGTGTGTGCTGCAAATATATCCATGTATATAGTAGAACACACAGGGGACAAAGTTATGAAAACTTCTTAGCCAAAACCAAACACCCTGAGGGACTGAGTCACTGGGCTTGAGGGTTTAGGACCACAGTCTCAGGGGACATCTAGGTCAATTGGCATAACACAGTCCATAAAGACAATGTTCTACATCCTACTTTGGTGAGGAGTGACTGGGGTCTTAAAAGCTTTCGAGTGGCCTTCTAAGATACAATTATTGGTCTCTTCCTGTCTGGAACAAAGAAAAGCAAGAAAATCAAAGACTCAAGGAAACAATTAATCCAAAGGAATAATGGAGCACATGAACCACAGCTGACACTAGCTGAGACCAGAAGAACTAGATGGTACTCAGATACTATGAACCACTCTGATCAGGATCACAAAAGAAGGTCCTGGGCAGAGTGGGAGAAAAATGTAGAACAAAATTCAAATTCATAAAAAAGACCAGACTTACTAGTCTGATAAAGACTGGTGGAACCCCTGAGACTATGGCCCTTAGACATCCTTCAAACTTGAAACTGAAACCACTCCCAGAGATCACTTTACAGACAAACAGACGGGCCTATAAAATAAACAATAACACCCATGAGGAATGTGCTTCTCAGAACGATCAACCATATGAGACCAAAAGGGCAGCATTTACCCAAAAACAAAATTCAAAAGGCAGGAAAGGGCAGGAAAGATGGGCAAATGGAAACGGGGCACTAAGGGAGGAAGTGGGTAGAGTGTTGTCAAATTGAGGGGATTGCAACTAATAGCATGAAACAAAATGTGTATAACTTGTTGAATGGGAAACTAATTTGCTCTTAAGCTTTCAATCAAACCACAATAAAATGTTTCAAAAAAAACAGTCTTGGGCTAAGAGCCTGCAGTCCGGAGGATTTGACAGAAATAAAAATGATTTCTACCACCATCCAAAAAAATAAAAATCTTTTCTTTTAAAGGAGAAACAAAAACAAAGTGAGCCAGGTTCCATTAACAAAAAGGTAAAACTGCAGATAAAAACCTAACAAACCTGGTTAAGACTCATTAATAATGGGTTTTCTCTAAAAGGCGATCAATTAGAAAGGGAAGGACCATTCTTTAACACTCCCAATGGCAAGATTTAAAGAGGAACTGATAACATTTATGAGCACACCAAAGAAAGGTGATCCAACAGAATGTGGAAATTATTGAACAATATCATTAATATCACAGCAAGTAAAGTTTTGCCGAAGATAATTCAAAAATAGTAACAGTAATACATCAATAGGGAACTGCCAGAAATTCAGGCAAGATTCAGAAAAGGATGTGAAACAAGGGCTATCATTGTTGATGTCAGATGGATCTTGGCTGAAAGCAGAGAATACCAGAAAGATGTTTACCTGTGTTTTATTGACTATGTAAAGGCATTTGACTGTATGAATAATAACAAATTACGGATAACACTGCGAAGAATGGGAATTCCAGAACATTTAATTGTGCTCATGGAACCAGTACATAGACCAAGAGGCAGTTGCTCAAAACAGAGCAAGGGGATACTGCGTGGTTTAAAATCAGGAAAATTGTGCCTCAGGGTTGTATTCTTTCACCATACTTATTCAACCTGTATGCTGAGCAAGTAATCCGAAAAGCCAGACTACATGAAGAAGACAGTGGCGTCAGAAGTGGTGGAAGACTCATTAACAACTTGCATTATGCAGATGACACAACCTTGCTTGCTGAAAGCTGAGAGGACTTGAAGCACTTACTAATGAAGATCAAAGACTACAGCCTTCAGTATGGATTATACCTTTACATAAAGAAAACAAAAATCCTCACAACTGGACCAATAAGCAACATCATGATAAATGGAGAAAAGATTGAAGTTGTCAAGGATTTCATTTTACCTGGATCCACAATCAACACCCATGGAAGCAACAGTCAAGAAATCAATTGACATATTAATCTGCTGCAAAAGATGTCTTTACAGTGTTGAAAAGCAAAGATGAGGACTAAGGTGAGCCTGACCCAAGCCACGATATTTTCAATCACCCCATATTCATAAGAAAGCTGGACAATGAATAAGGAAGACCAAAGAAGAACTGATGTCTTTGAATTAAGGTGCTGACAAAGAATATTGAATATGCCATGGACTGTCGGAACAACAAATAAGTCTGTCTTGGAAGTACAGCCAAAGTGCTCCTTGGAAGCAAGAATGGTGAGTCTTTGTCTCATGTACTTTGGACATGTTATCAGGAGGGACCAGTTCCTGGAAAAGGACATCATGCTTGGTAAGGTAGAGGGTCAGCAAAAAAGAGGAAGCCCCTCAATGAGATGGACTGACACAGTAGTTGCAACAATGGGCTCGAACATAGCAAATATTGTGAAGATGGCACAGGATTGGGCAGTGTTTAGTTCTGTTGTACATAGGGTCACTATGAGCCAGAACCAACTTGACAGCACCTAACAACAACATGAGCACCTACTATGTGCCATGTATAAATATTTGATGTACATTTTTTCTAATGTTGCAGTTTTTTTAATAACAGCTTTATTAAGATATAATTCACAAAGCACAGAATTCACCTTGCTAAAGTGTACAGTTAGTGGTTTTTAGTATATTCACAGAGTTGTGCGACTTTCATTACTATCTAACTTTAGGACATTTTCATCACCCTAAAAAGAAACCCTGTACCCATCAGCAGTCATTCTCCATTTTTCCCATACCCTCAAGCCCCTGACAATCATTAATCTACTTTCTGTCTCTATGGATTTGCCTATTCTGGACATTTCATATAGACAAGATCATACAATAATGTATTCTTTGCGACTGTCTTCTTTCACTTAGCATAATGTTTTCAAGGTTTATCCATGTTGTAGCATGGGCATATATTTTTAAACTCTTGTTGTTGTTAAGTGCTGTCAAGTCAGTTCCCACTCTTACTATATATGACATATTTATTTCCATTTTACTGATAAGAAAAATGAAAGGTTAAATGCCTTGCCCAAAAGTCTCACAAAGTAAGCAAAGAAATACTGAAACCTTAGCATTATCTGCATGGTTCATGGTTCAACTATTTCCACCACATCACACAGACTGCCAAATGCCTTAGAGTTCACTTACATAATTTTAAAATTGAAATGTACAATGCCTTGTAGTATCTCAGAGCTAGCAAATTAATCTTTCTTCTTCCTGTTTCTATGTTCACCCAATATACATTTACATCCAAGGGCAAGGAAACTAGTCTTCTATTCCCATCGGCTCGCATGACTACCTCACTACTTTTGACATTGTGAGCACAACTCACACCCAACAGAAGACTATACAAACAGGAAGCACCACTGTGTGTTCTTTCATACAACAGCGTATTCTATATCTCAGACCAGTTTAGAAAGAAGCTAAAATAACAAGAAACAATGGACAGAACCAGCATTTAGTTCAGTGAGGAGACATCAGAGTCACTCACCAGGCAGCTGAAGTATGAAGCCTGCTGGTACTATGAGCCTAAACCACAAACTAACTCAGGATTTCAGCATCTCAGTTCAGGACCCTATCTGTTAAACCTGACTTAACAAGTCTAGTAGCCAGTTATCTTTATTTATTGAGTCTCATGGCCCATTTACCTTCTTGCCCCCGATGTATCCTCCAGAGGCACCAAAACTCTTTGTGAAGGTTCCCATCAAAACGTCCACATCTTCAGGATTCAGGCCAAAGTAGTCTACCACACCTCGACCTGTAGGGCCCAGGGCCCCAATGCTGTGAGCTTCATCTAGATACAAGTATGCTTTGTATTTCTTCTTAAGGGCAATCACTTCAGGAAGGCGAACAATGGATCCCTCCATGCTGGCAAAACAGGATAAATAAAAATATATGGAGACATTTTAACTCTCAAATTTTTTAATTTTTTTAAGTTTATTGCCTTTTAAATGGTCTGACAACCCTACCTGGGGTTTTAAACTGGCAAAGTTAGATGATGCCACAGCTAGACAGATGTCTAGGAAGAAAGAGACTGGATCTTTTAAAACAAGCACCAGAACACGACGATCTTAGCTCACCAGAGAAGGATAAAGGTTATAGCAGATTCTTCTAAAGCTTATAATAATGGACAACATTAGACTGCATCACATGGCGTATGCAAGTGAAATTACACAAAAGAACAGAAAGTGTTAGGAGGTAGGGCAATAAATGTAAGGGCAGCAAATAGTTATCCAAAATAAAATATCCCTTATAATTAAATGGTGTGTAATTTGTTTTGACATATTAGAAAATTTATTCTAATTCTTCCCCCTGTATAAAAATTTCCTCTATAAACAGTAGAAAAATAAAGGACCCAAATAGAAAGGGGGAGGGGGGGATTGGAGACAGTGTAGTAGAATGGAAACAATAAAGAAGAGCCAGACAAAAAGACTTCTGTTCTAGTGCTGGCTCTGCTTGCAGGTACTTTTCACAAGTCATAAACACTGTCTCCTTAGTTTCCAGAGGGGGTCTACACGAGAGTTCCCTTCAACTTAAAAATTCTATGACTTCATGGAGTCAAGTCACAAAGATAAGAAAATAAAACAGGATTACCTATATATTCCTTCCACAAGGATTAGAATTTTCTTCCAGGGCCTTCGCGTCCGAGGTTGACCATAAACAATGGCATCTTTCAAAAGCTTCTCTAGGCTCTGCATATCTATAGCACACAAAAATGAATTTCAACACAAACTATCTTCCTCTTTCCTAACTTCATTCCAGTAATGCAGATATACATTGCTTAATCAGGAAGTGTGTCTCAGATAGCAAAGGGCATTAAAATACTTTGAGATGGATAGAAAAAGTTAGGGCAAGATGGGTGAGTTGCTGCCAGTTTGAATTAAAATTAAAAATGTACAAATGCTCGAAACCATAAAACCTCAACTAAATGAGGGTGGCACTGTGGATTCAGTTGGTTAGCATGCTATGAAATGACTAATGTTTCATGTTAAATAACCTTGCCATTCAGGTAGCTTCATCTCTAACCCTAGTGAGTCATTCAGAAATAAACGCATAAAGAAGACCGAGCAAGAGAGTGTGAATAAACCATTGCAAATACATCTACCTCCTAAAAAGCAAACATGGGCATAAAGGATGTTCTGAGAAATGGCGTTCCCATTTATTGTAAAAAGAAAATAGCAGGTTACAAAACAATGTTGACATAAAATACTGTATATACCATTCTTATCATAAAACACTTTAGATGAGACAAAGAAAAAAAGAAGGTAATTACCATCCGTAATCTTTACACCCAGAGGTACAGACCTAATATTATGGTGTACATTCTTCTAGACTTCTGTCTATACACATATGCATTTTGGCAAAAAGATGATATTAAACATATCATTTGGTAATCCTTTCTCCTGACGCGCAAATGTTTTTACTATGAAAGTTATGGATTTTGATTGCAAATGATTAATAATGCACAAAGATATTTCCACTTAGTAAGAAAAAGATTTGGCTTAGTACCACCTTGCTCTGTGCTTTTATGACATCTGTTCATATCTATATTTCAGTATCTATCCCTTGTACTGTAACTAGTGGTTTATCTATAAGTCTCTTCACCAGCCCGTCAAAAACCCTTGCAATCAGAGACCTTGCTTTATTCATCTCCATACTCCTAGTGTTATGGCAAGACACATCACAGTTTTATCTAGGAAATGGATATTGAACAACTACTTGGAAACAAGGAAAAGGGAGGAAACAATTGAAAGGTCAAGTAAAGGAATACATTATATTTTATACTAAAAGGCTTCCTTCAGCCTCTACTTTTATTCTAATGAGGAAGAGAATAACTCAAAAAACTGGACCTGAAGGACATTTTAAATGTTGCTACTTGAGCTTCATTTGTATTTTCTATTATTAACATAATTAATGTTACCACCTCCACTGACCAAAGAATATTAATGCTAAGGCTGGCAGTGAACTCTACAACAAAACTCACTGTTATGTTTGAAGATTCGAATGGTTGCCCCTGACAGTCTTGCTCCTAGAACGAGTGACGCATGGTTCAGTTCATCACTCAGAATCAGGCAACCCTGCAAAACCACAAACACAGTGCGGTAAGAAGCTGGAAGAGAAAGGTTTAGTTACATAAACTACAAAATGCTAAAATCGCTAATACGTAATTATATCCTATTAAGGAAGGCTTGCACAACAGTAAAACCATCAATTTTGAGAAGAAAAAAAAGGTGGGGAGTGGTACATGATTTTTATTTTTTGCAAAGAATATCTCAGAAGCAGATCAAAATTCTAGCCCATTAATTTCATTTCTTCAGTCCTGTGAATGACTTAGCAAATATTCAGACATACAGTAACAGGTTTTTACTTATATGGAAAATCTGATATATCAGATATGTTTTATAAGGAGTTTGGGTTTGTTTGAGGACTTTCATATGAGCTTTGGTAGGATGTACTGCTTTATTTGTGGGAAAAAGCTTCAGGGGATGGTGGCTGAGGGAGTAATGCCTGTGGAAACTGTACAGTCTTCCTCTCACCCCTAACAATTTGTAGAGTCCAGTGCTGATTCTACTTATGAATCTTTTTCTCAAATAACATAGGGTCTAAGCCTAAGTTTTGCCCTTAAAATTCCTTAACAAGCACTGCTATTGTTGTTAGTTGCCTTAGAGTCAATTTTGACCCATGGTGACCCCATGTGTGCAGAGTAGAACTGCTCCAGGTGATTTTCAAAGCTGTGACCTTTTGGAAGCAGACTGCCAGGCCTGTCTTCCCAGGCACCTCTGGGTGGGTTTGAACTGCCAACTTTTCGACTAGTAGTCGAGCACTTAACTTTGTGCCACCCCCAGATGCGTTAACAAGCTGTACTCTACATGTAAACATGGGTTTCTGCTAAGGCAACAAGAAAAGTCTGAAGCACCTTTTTAAAACTTTCTTCCCCAGTTCTTACTCTTCCATCTCTTGTGGGGCTCTTCAAACTCTAAGAACTTAAGTCAGAGAAAAAGTTTTTTTCTTTGCCAAAAAAAAAAAAAAAAAAAAAAAAGTCCTCTTCTATAGTAAGGCTCATTGTTACTATGCCTGAAAGTGACTTAATATAAGGAATTTTATTTACAGGCACATCAAAAAGCAGTTCAGGGCTGCCTGGCTCTCACATAGCCTTCTGCTGAAGGAAAGTAAAGAGTCTCATCCCACACTAGAAGTTGCCATTTCCCTTAACTTCCCAGTACACTGCAGCATTAATTCCAATCACTATGTAAGTAAAGCTGATGCTCAAAAACTCCAGACCAGAAAGCCTTGGGAAAATGGTGTCTAGTAACTTACTGGGACAAACTTGTATAAGATCTGAGCGATGGTACCAGCTCTCAACGAGTTATGGCAACAGCACATAAGCTACCACTTGTGGGATCGAGACATTTCTGAAATAGACTGCATCCTATAATTTTACTAAATTGCTTCATTTCCCCATTTTCCTATCCTAAGATGTTCTAGCTTCTTCTTATAATCTTTGAATCATTCATTCCATACCTCATTCCAAGAGTATTTACGCAACAAAAGGTTACAACAAGGTTAACAGGATTTTAATATAAAAGAGGTACAGCACGTGGAGTAAGGAGACTCATTTTTACAAAGGTTACTCGTGAAATGCTTCACCAGCAAGGTCAGCGACTCATCCAATTGGTATGTACATGCTCGTTAAGTCAGGGCATTTCTCAGTGCTTTGTGTGTAGGTCAATGGTTCTTAACTTTATTTTACCTTTTTGTCACAGAGACAGAAAATTTGAAAACTGCTTCAGCCCCTTTTCCAAAAAATACACAAGCACACAAACACAAATTTTCAGACAACTTCAAGGGGTGCACAAATTGACTAAAGTCCATCTAAATGTTAGAAGATTAAAATACGGCGTGCTCACATGCACTGCTGGTGCAAGCATGAACTGGTACAACCCTTACAAAGGGCAATTTGGCAAAATTACACATGCACATACATTTTAGCTCAAAAAATTTATGTATAGTAATTTATCTTACAGATATAGCGACACAATGTATAAACTGACTCGTATTCAAAGTTGTTCACTGCAGCATTGCATATGCAGTAGAAAGGAGTGCAAATTATGATACCATTTAGGTAAATGCTTAAATGTACATAGACTATCTCAGGTGTGATTCTCAAGGAATTGGTAACACTTGTTACCTCTGAGAGAGGAAATGGGTGGTTAGACCCAGCAGGGACAGGTAGGAGGAAGACTTTTCGCTGTCTAATCATCTGTGCCTGATTAAAATATATATACATTTTTAATTCTGGCGTAAGTGATAGCCAAATTTACACAGTCAATTTTCTCTTTTAAAAGTTCAACTTCTTGTATTCTCAAAATCTACTCACATTTCTAGCTCTAAAAACTCCATATATTTTTGGATGCTCCACCTCCCTTATTGACTGGCTCCATTGTGATCCATTACTTTTAAGATGTTTAATCTGAGTCACTGGATTCCACAAATACACGATTTAAACTTGTAAAACTCCTTGAGACTCTACAAATAGTAAAACCTATCTCTGCTGGAAAGGCCTTTTCTAACCCACAAGTACTTGATCACAAAGTGTGATGACCTCTGGCAAACTCCCTTTCCCTAATCTGTTGAAGGTATCTAAGAGTTTTTTAAAAAGACTTGGCTACTCATTCAAAAAACAAGACACCACAGGAGCTAAGAGTGTCCACTGGCCAAAGAAAAAAGTATGTATTAAAAAAAAAAAAAAAAAGATGGCTGCGATACACTGAAACACATCAAACACATAAAAATCCTTGAGTTCATAAAAATACTCAAAACAAAACCAACAGACTCAAACTCACTGGTCACATGTGGAGGTTGCTAGAGCACTAACTCATTCTGAAACTTGAAAAACAAAATAATCAAACATCTATCCACTTTTCTGGTTCAAACTGATTTCAGTGCTATCAAATAGTTGATGAGAAAAAATTCTTCTTTTTGGAAGAACTCCAGCTAACAAGTGCAGAAGCAATATAGAATTAGAAAATCACTGTTTTGCAAGGAAAATGTATCAACAACTGCTAAAACCCTTAAGTGAAGGACTGACAGGGAACTTCATAATGGGCTGATCAGGCTGATGTCACCTGAATCCACTGATCAATCTTAATGTCACAAAAAGAAAGAAAAGAAGGCATCAAGTGACTCTTGTTGTAATACAATAGAAAGTACGGGTACCAGCTATAAATATTCCTGGCAGAAAAACTAAACCTGAATCTAATTAAGAAGTCTCCAGCTCTAACTATCAGTCTATAGGAAACACTCAGGGTTGAAGAACACGTTAAATGATACCACAAGGATGCAATATGCCAAATCCAAAATGTAGGAATTCCTTCAGGACAAATGCCAGTTGGTTCAACAGGTTATTTGGTGTGAATTTAAACAAACAAAAACAGTGGAGTAACGCTGTTATAGTTAAGAGACTTAAGAGTCACATCAACCAAATGTAACACATGGACCTTTCTAGGAGACCTAATAAGAATAAACTAACTATAAACATAAATATTTGAGGTAATCAGGTAAAGTTGAACACAGACTTGGTATGACATGATACTAAAAAACTATGACTAACCAAAAATGGAAATAATGAGAATGCTGATACATTGTGAAGTATGTAACCAGTGCCACTGAACAATATGCATAGAAATTGTTAAATGAAAATCTAATTTCCTGTGAAAACTTTCACCAAAAACACAACAAAATATTAAAAAAGATTATAAGTAATTGTGTTAAGTATGATAATAGTATTGTGGTTACATAAAAAAAAAAGTTCTCAGAGTTTATCCGTGGTTCCCAAGGGTGAGGTGGAGGAGGGAAAGAGGGAGTCATTGCTTAGGAGGCTGATTTATGTTTAGATGATGGGATAATCTGGAAATTGATAGTGGTGATAGTTGCATAACATGATGAACATAATCAATGTCACTGAATTGTACATGTAAAAAATGTCGGATTGGCAAATGTTTTGTTACATATATTTTTACCATAAATAAAAGAATTGTTCTTTAAAAGTCCTTATCTGCTAGAGATATATACTGAAATATGTAGGAATAAAATCATATGATATCAAGGATTTCATTTTTAAATACTACACTTTCTTTTTAAAAAGTAAGGAGAGAGGGTTGAAATAAAAATGGCAAAATGTTAATAACTAATAAAGTTGGGTGATGGATATGTGATGCAGTCCCTTATACTGAGCGCTCTGCTTTCTACCTATTAATAAAAATGAAAAAAAAAAAAAGAAAGATTGGTGATAGGGTTAACAAGGGTGAAAGAAAAAAAGCTTTATATACTGTTGGTGAAAGTGAAAATAGGAAGTTTAACAATGTCTTTCAAATTTTAAATGCATATCCTTTAACCAATTCTATTTTTAAGAACTTATTCTACAAGTAACCTTGCACAAGAGCACAAAGATGTACATACAAGGATTTTGTATAAGCAGTGTTGCAGTAGCAAAAGAATGGAAGCAGTCTTAATGTCAATCAAAGGGGTCTGGAGACTGATATAATCTGGGGTCAGACTGCCAGGATTCAAATTCAGGAACTGCCAGGTGGTAGCTGGGCAATCTTGAGCAAGTTAACCTGTTTCCAAATTGCAAACCTCTTCATTTGACAAGGATGAAAGAGGTAATTTTATATACTCATCTGTAAAATAGGGGAAAGAATTGTCCACAGATGGGATACTAAAATTAGTGGGTGAAAATTTAATCAGAAATAGGATATTTATATATTCTCAAAGTATCTCTGCCACAGTATTTAGTAATTACAAAGGGACAAGTAGTAAGTTTATAGCAGAAAATCATGCTGACATCTTAGCCAAGTGATCAAGGTTAACATCACTAGTAATATATATTGATATCATGTAGCCCCTGATATGATGCCCTAAGAATGGCATATGACCTCTGTTCTACCCTTCCCAATAATGCATGACTTCAATCGTATCATGACAAAATAGTAAACAAACCCAAATTGAGAGATATTCTACAAAGTAAGTGACCAGCACTCTTCAAAACTGTCGAGATCATGCATGAAAGACAAGGAAA